AAGAACATTACTTTTCCTCAAATAACAACCTTCTTTACTAAAAAAGAAAAAAGAAAGGGGGAGATTTTCGAAACATTAAGACATTCATGGTTAGAACACCAATCTTGCAAAAAAAAAGCCAGATTTTAGAAACATTAAGACAACTTACAGCTTGTTTGGCAATCATAAGCACATCTATGAAAAACTTTCAATGTAGAGCCTGCAGATTATTATCCATTTCTATACTTTCCAAGGGGAAGCAAGAAATTGGCCATTACATCCATTGCAGTTGATTCAAAGTCCATTCTATTGACGCTATGTTGGTATTCTAACCAGGCAAGGATCAATTCACCACAATGCAGTTACCACCAATCATCAAAACTAAGTGGAGACCATTGAAAATGCAATCATTTTACAAAACCAAGATATATCTAATGACTATTATGCAATCTACTTTATAATTTGGAAGGCCGCAACTGAAATACAGAAAACAGACCTCAGAAGAGCCGAAAATAGAAGAACCCATCAATTTGATTGCTCTTTCTGCTTTTCTAACTTCCTCCTGCTCAAATGCACCACATGCAAAGTGGACAATTAACAACCACTGAGGCACTAACAATTAAAAACTACAGAAATAATCGATTAGAAGCCCCTCATTTAACGTATGCTATGCAAATCATCAACCTGTTGGCTCAAAACTATGCATTGGTGATTTGTAAAGAAACTAACTACACTGGAGAGACTGGTTTTCTATTAAACTTTAAAGGTGAATCATGAAGTCTCAATTATGCAATGCCTAATTGGTACTAATACAGGCACAAACCAAAAATTTTGTGATTTGAAGCTGGTGTGGAGCCTAACTGGTAGTCATATCCCTCCAATGAGAAAGTAACAAGCTAAAAATCCCCTTTATGCTCAAGAATATTGTCAACATAAATTCATAAGATTTCTATACAAAATTCAGTGTAGAGAGAAAAAGGAAAATGTTTCTATACTTCTCTATCACATTTTTCCAGTAGCAAAAACTATGTTTGAAATGTGTACTAGTTCATGAGCTGTATAGAGTTATTATATGTCTGTAAAGTTCAGTTTAATGTTCGAGTGTAAAATTCATATACATACACGAGGATCGTGACCTTTTGCGGCACGAAACAAGCCACCAACATGAACCAGAGGAAGATAGTGCTCTGATGATAACCTGAAAGAAGGGACAGAAGATAGTAAATATGCACAACAATTTTTAGCACTGACATAGTATTGATGCCATTGCAGTCCTATACCAAATTAAAAATGTACAGACAATAATGGAGAAACTATAATTATAATTTTCACAGATTCAGAGACTATGTCATTGACTTGAGACTGCATATATTATTTTAGTCATGATCACCAGTTCCCTGGATATCTTCTTCTTCTTCTTATTATTTTTTTAGATAGCATGGGTCCCTGGATATCTTCATGTATATGCAAAGGTAAGATGATAAAGAAAGAATGAGACAGATAAGAAAGCATTCTAATATTTTGGTTCAGATTCAATATAAGACTATTAAAGATTATCTGCTGTGATCTCTAATCTGGTTAGACTCTGTCAGAGTTTCCTCTAGTTTCAGAGTGGGAAGCCTTCTTGTTCACAGGATGTGTGCTGGTTATCAAACACTATAATTTTAGGTCTGTTATACTGTAAATGTTACATGGCCCTTGTTTGGAAGAGCTACTTGGGCAATAGATACTATGCAAGTTCACAGCTCCAGTCCTTATGAACTAGGAGCTAGAAATTAAAAAAAAGAAAAAAATTTGAAATGAATTCAAAAGATCAAATTGATTGCAGTAAACGATGACAAAATAATTAGATGTTAGAAAAAGTTGTATGATAACCAACACAAAGACATATACAAGGAGCATTGGAAGTACCTCTGCTCTTTCCCCTACAATTGGAACATTTGAGAGCCAGTAAGACTCACTGCATGCTCCAAGAAACACGTCACTTCTTCATAGACTCGGCCAATTTTACTTCTCAACCTACACACAATGGAAAATGAATTCATCAAGTATACTTACAAGGAAAGATTTAAGAAACCAAGGCAAATATGCGAAGAAGAAGATGTAATGTAATTCATAAATTAGATTTAACGTGCATTTGAGATTGCTTTCACAATGCTTTTTCACCTAATCATGCAATATTAAAAGTGTTAATTTGTTATAATTCAATTTATTTAATTAATGCTTTATAAAGAGGAGGTATCTTACAGCTAAGGCTTATATATCACACTTACATAAAATTTTGACAATTAATCTCTTCATTTTTAATTGTTGAGATTTATCATAATTTTTTAAATAAAAACAATAATCATCTTTAATATATATAAAAAAAATCTCAATCACTAAAAGTAAAAAACTGAATGATTGAAATTTTATATAAGTATTATGTATAAGACTTGATTTTAAGAATAACTTTACTTTAGTAACTATATAAATGTACCACAAAATAATAATTAAACATTAATATAGTTTTTGGCTATCGCATGAGAAGAAAAGGTTACAATACTACAGAGCAGTCTCAAACAGATCCTAATCAATCTAAGCAAGCAATGGCTAAAACCAATCCAGGAAGACCCGGGCTACTTTCCAACATCAATGGAA